GGTATCTCCTCGGATCCGATCATGAGCCGTATTGATCGCGAAGGTGAAGCGCTCAGCATACTCGTCCCAATCCTTCTGGTCAAACGTACATCTTGAGTGCTCTGGTCGCGGTCTGCACCATTCTCTCAGCCGTCCCGTTTGCCTGTGGACGATATGCCATCGTCGCCCGCTGCCGTTGCCCCAGGATCTTGTTAAACGCCCGGAAGAAATCGGACATGAAGCCAGGTTCTCGATCATGCCGGATCATCTCACTGGCCCCAAAACGTCGAAATACACACTCTTCATACGATTCCGCGACCGTCTGGGCTGATCAAGACGAGCTGGCCTTTCGCGATCACATATCCAGTGAACCGATCGACCCAGATCAGTAATTCTGTGTTCCCTTTGTGGGATCTGGGTAGCGACGGTATGTGATCCATCGCAATAAACGGGTACGTCGCCTGCAAGTTTCCCGGCAATTCACCCCGGATCACCGGTTTTCCTTTTCCTGTTTCGCAATCTACACACTCCCCCACATGTCGTTGTACACTTCGGTATAATCCCCTCCAGTGGAAGTGATCCCTGATCCGCTGGTAGGTTCGCCTCACTCCCTGATGTCCTCCTTCCAACGTGGTGTGATAGTGATGTAAGACGTCAGACTGCAGCGTTTCAGGAACCACCAATCTCATCAATCGGTCGCGATCGTCTCCCGATCTCGGCGCGGGGGCAATAAAAGAGTCGATCCTGCTCGTCTATTTCGTAGTCGGCCGCGATCTTGCCATACGATCTTGCTTCCGCTTGTGTGAGATCTGTGATCGAGCCACTCAGGTACTTCTTCATGCCGACGATCCAGACTTCTTCCTCTTGGGCCTGCTTGATCCGATCGACCCGGATTTCCCGGATCCGATCCTCTTGCATGACACCCGCTGGTGATCTTGCTCGACCAGCCCGCGTGGTCACCGCGGCAACTCGTACCACTGGATTCTCGGTCTTAAGGATCAAGATTTCGTCTAACCGGTTCAGGGTATCCAGCTCCCGGTACCCGGACACCTCCTGGACCTCGATCCACCCTTGTCGTTTCAAAGCGGCGCTTGCTAGA